TATTTGTCTTTTCATAACTTATGTGTAGTCCAACCTTTGTTTTGCTGTATTTGCTAAATCATATCTTTTTCTTTGCATGTCATTGCCGTTTTACACTCCTACATTCCTTTAAGAACCTAATTTTCATAATGGGCAGTTCTGGTAACAAATGTGTCAGTATCAATCTTGTTGAGGTAAGAAAACATTGTGTACATGTTCTGAGAAAGGCATCTATCATTATATTTCTCCCCACAGTTGTTGAACTTAATATGGTCATGTTGTTTCATGTTTCTTCTTCTTTTCTTTTCCAGACAAGATGTTGTGGAATCTTCAGCAGATCGTGTCAACAAGTATTTGTCACAAGCACTGACTGCCAGAAGTATAGAGAGGGAAAAATCCAACAACATCAATTTCATTACTCTTCAGTTTACCAACAAGGAAAAAGAGATAGGGGTAGGAGAAATGCACATGTTTTTTCAAAGCATTTAATTTATTTGTTTGTGACTGAAGTACCTAAGTACGGAAAATTCATCATTAAGCAGACTATTTAATAATTAAAAATGTCACAGTAACATGAATCATTAAAATAATTTTCAGTTTGTGACATAAATTTCAGTGTTTACTGCGTATGCAATTCTTCCACTTCTGCATTTACCATTAAAAAGGTGACTGGCATGTTGTGGTTGCTGTTCACCCCCCCCCCCCCCCCCCCCCCCCCCCCCTCCCACCTTTTCCCCCTCCTAAAGGCCCCAGAACACATATGGGAAATATTAGGCAATAAAATAAAAATATGTTTATGGTAACAAATAATGTTTGCCCTATAATTATCAAGTTTTACTGAGTTGTTTAATTAATTAATATAATACACACCATATGTTTTCTAAATAGATTTTATTTCACCGCTAAAAATAAAAACTTACTGATTTTTACCTTAGAGTTAATTTGTCCCCAGTATCAAGCCACAGAAGATCTAACATTTGGCTGCAGTCTTGTATGCACATTGGCCATGCTAGTGCTGACACTTTGCTTGCAGGTCAGTGAAGTAACTTCTGTATTTAGGTAGTGAAATATTTACTATATTTTTTTTATCTTTTAGCAAGCCCGAACAGAGACTTTTCTTCTTCCTATTTCATTATGTTTGTTTTGTATATTTTGTGTATTAAAAGGTCACCATGCAGTAATTAAAAACAATTTATGACAAAAATATCAGTTTTTCTAAAGAATAGATTACACATAATATGTCATTGGTAAGCAATATTGCATTGAAAAGATTATAAACAAGAACCTGCCCCATGAATATTTTAAGGGGAACATTCATTTTACAGCAAAAAATAGCCATGTTTTACACTTAGCAACCGCTATTTCAAAATATTTTAATAGGTTTTATTGTATATCATTTTGAAGACCGTTAAAATATCTATTTGGATTTAAGAAAGCAAATACTAGATTTGCCTGCTAGAGTCAAAACTTAGAAAGTATTGACCATACCGATATTTCATTGGCCTTATTATTTGGCCACATTTGATTGGTCCCTTTTAAAGATACCCTTAACTACGAATGAATGCTTTTAGTATTTGGTTAATTCCTTCAGTACCATAATAAACAAACAATGTATTCAATCGCACTCAAAGAAAGAAGTAGAAAGATAGAAGACACACTAGACAACATAAAAATGTAACACTATTGTTACCATGCTGGGAACCGAACCTGTCACCTTTGAATGGCGTGTGCCCCTAACTGTGGAAACAAGTGTACTAAGAACACGACCAACTAGGCACCCCAAAAAGGTGTCTTCATCGGCCATGTCTATCGTACAGCTTGAAATCCACAACTATGGAATATGTACAGAATTAATCTCAAACCATTGAATTGGAATCATGGGGGACATAAATTTATATTAATTGAGCTTAGGTCGAATAAAAAACACAGCAATAATTTACAAACACAGTAGACTGTAATGCTGTGTCTAGAACACACAAACTTTAAAAAAAAGAAATTCAATTGGTAGGTTCCATTGTGTTACATATCATTCACATAAATAAACAGAGGGGGAACCCTTGAGCTGTAGAAATATTATATATGATGTTTCAGTATCATAAGAATGTAGATAACAATTAGACTTCATAGTTTTACTCTTAATGAATAATATTACAAAATATGTTGGATAATTATAGGTCTATAATGTGAGGTTGGTAGTCATGTAGATACACAGAATTCTGCCCTGTGTACTTTCAGTTGTTTCAGACACATTTGTTTCTTGACTTCATGATGTCAAACTGTTCAGCATCTTTTCTCTTGGTCTCTATTTGCTTCTCTTTCATTTCAGCTTATCTATTGTCATAAACTTCGTTAAAAGATTTTTTTTAATAATCTTAGGATGTTATCAAAGAATGTATATTGTCTCCTTCTGATGTTTATAACCAGTTCTCTTCAAAAATTATTTTTTTTTATAAATATCTTCATTACACTTTGCAGAACCAACCCCAGCAGCCCCTGGCTGTTGGTGAATGGATTTTATCTAGGCGGGATTGGCTATGTCCAGTAGTTATGAACCGTTGCTTTAACTGGACGGTCATTAAATATTCATTATTTGTATAGATACATACTCAGATAGTAAATAACCAATGCAAAGCCATAATAATGCTGCACACTTCTTGTTATATGATCTAATGGACTGATAAATCTTCCCAGTAAAAACATTCCTAATTCAAAGTGGCCTACATGCTACACCACTTCTAAACCACCTATTGCCTAAATATGATCTATTACCCAGTGCTGCCCATCATGTTAAAAGGTACATCAAGATATCAACATAACTTTTTTTCATAGTATGTTATATTCACTATGTTTGTGCCTTTTGAGACCTACATAATTTTCATGTGTCAGTATTTTATATCTAGGTTAGTTGCAAATCCTTTACAGGACGTTGCAGAACCAACCCCAACAGCCCCTGGCTGTTGTGTGGTCTATCTAGGCAAATTTATGTCCAGTTGTTTGCTGATGCTTTGTGGACGGTCGGCCCCCTGATACCACTGAGAATCCCCATGCAAAGCCACCTGACTAGTAAACTAATACGTAAATTTTAGCAAAAAATAGCCAAAAACAGCAGCCAAAAAATGCTGGGGTTAGTTATGTAATGTCCTGTAAAGGATATTCAACTAACTTTTAAGTTTAAGTATGTTATATTCACTATGTTATTTGCTAGAACAGGACCTCTTCAACTGGCAGCCTGTGATCCAAATCTGGTCAGTGAAGGCCTAGCTAATGACCCATAGATTATTGCCAGTTGTACTTTATCATCGATCTGTCTATGCTGGGGCTGGAGCCTCTGGCCCATGAGAATCCCCATTATGCCCTGAGTATTTTGAATAGCCATTCTGCAGTGACAAATCAAACTTTTGCATGTAAGTTACCTTGGCTGTGTCATTCATGAAATATTGCCTGGCCTTCCATTATGTTTTCATATATATTATTATTTGTGGCATATTGTTGTTTTGTTTTTTCCTAAATTACTCTACAATGTTTATTCTGCTCATATTGGGCAAAATGCCATACAAATAATTCATATTTTCTTTTAATGTTAAATTAAAAAAAAAAAAAAAAAACTTTTTATGATTCTGCTTTGATTACAGTTAAATCATTTATGTTTTAAAAGTAGAAGTATTATCATAGTTATAATTATTATTACTGTTTTAATTTAAATGTCAGTATTTTCCATGTAGACAATTAATTTGCATTTACTGTGTTAATTGATTTGTGAAACCGTTCTAAAAAAAAAAAAAATTTAAAGATGTAAACTTTTTTATTTGATATTTTACCTTTACATATGGAACTAGATTTGAGATATGAACTGTGATGCACTGCATATGTACTTGTGTTTGTTACAAACGTCACATTTATCAGGAAGACACAACTATTGGTGTGTTTGATGAGAACTGCACAAATGTAATTGGTTTTTGTGTGTGTATCTGTTTCAGTACTTGGTGTGGTGGTCTTTTCCTATACTTAAGGTGATTCAGAAGTCTTACCATATGCTCAAAGGGGCCCGACCTACTGATTTAGATATTGTGTATCATTTCCAACATGGGGACAAAGAAAACTAAGAAAGAAGAAAAGAAGAAAATCACAACAGAATGTAAGAAAGAGGTTGGGGGAAAATATGAGATGAAGTCAGGCTGACTTGCCCAAGTCCACCATAGCTACTGTTCTCAAGAAAGCAGATATTTATAAGTACAGGATGTGACTAAAGGGAAATTTATTGTCATCTTGAAAAAACAAAATCACGGAAGAAATGAAAACTTTACTAATCGTCTGAATTAATCACATTCAGTTGAAAGCAGATTTATCTCAAAATATGGTCTGTTTAAAAGCGCAAGCTATTTTCAAAGATTTATCACAGAGTTTGCCAACCAATACCAGTAGCTAAGACATTGGTGAAGAGTTTAAAAGCTAGCAAAGGATTAGGTGAGAGCAAGCAGTTCTTTTTCAAAAAATTAATTTAAGAAAAGAAAATAATAATCTAGAACTGGTTAATTGATTTCCTGTTAGATGTAATGGAAAAATTAGTTTAAAGATAAACATTTTTTTTAGATACAAACCATGGTCAGGAACAAATTAAGTTCATAAGTCAAAGTACCAGTGTATTGTTTTCATGCCTTATTAAATAAGTCTATCTATTTGCCGCTTATAAGTAAAATTTAATATTTGAAATACGTTCTGGTTTTACACATTCTTTGAGATTTTCATTTATTTAGCATCATCTGTTGAATCTCCTTGGCATTTCCAGGGGGTCTCCATAAAAAAGTAGTAATGCGTAGATGTCTTGCATTCTTAAGGTTGTGGCTTAATTTCTCTGAAAAGTACTATATATAAAATAAACAGAAGGGCCTGTTTCAGAGATCTCTTCCTGCCATGATGCCGGGATGCATTCCATGAGTAAAGAAGAAGAAGAATCACTTTAAAAAAAAGAGAAAATATATTCTGTATTTTAATATTTACTCCATGATTGTTCATTTCTACAGTGTACAACTTTTGATGTGCGCAAATCACCAAAATTACGTGTGTTCATTGCAATTACAGCAGTTCTCCTTCCTTACTTGATGGTACAGATCAACATTGTAAGTAGAATCCATGCAGGTTAATTAAGCATACCAAAAAAAAAAAAAATTAATGGTTCTCTTGTATAGCATTAGGAGATGGAGTAAAGGTGGGGGGGGAGGGGGGGGGGGGTGACGAATATATTGGGACATGTAGTAAACTGCAGGAGATGCAATAATGGGGGTGTTTTGGCGTGAGTTGATGGGCATCCTTGTTAGGCACATATTCCATTCCAGTTGGTTTTTTTCCAACTTCCCTTCACTGCTAACAGAAGGTTTGACCACACTGAGATTAAGTTATCTCAGTCTGGATGGCAAACCAATAGGACAAGTCCCTGATACCCCATTCAACCTCGAAAGAACTTAAAATTGGGGTACCTGCCTTGGCCATGACAGTCTAGTGTAACTTGCAGCCATGTGCAGGTAAATAATTGGGAATATATCTAGGCCCATATTGTCTGTGACTCAAGGACATACATATGGGATAGATTGACCAATTGCTGTTCCTTTCCAAGAATAACCTGTCATACCCATTTGCTCTGTTAATCTCACAACTAGAAACAAATATATTTAATAATGAAGATTAAAATGACACATTCTCTATATGTCTTTCTGTCTGTCTGCCTCTCTCTCTTGCTCTCTCTCTCTCACCCTCTGTGTGTGCGTGCGTTACAGACCAGTTCTGTATTTTGACAGTAATATCATAGTAAATTAAATCTGTTAAAATTATTGAACTGCTTATTTATAAATATGATCAATTTTGTTTTCTAGCTGTCTTGCAGTGGAGGGCATGGGATGTCCTTCCTTGAGTCACTTAGCCTTATGAATATAGATGAGCATCTGACCTGCAGTGACCCTAACTACATCATCATCAGTGGCATCCTCTGCTTCTTCATTTTAGCCCTCTTCATTAAGATCAACCCTCTGCTGAAAATTATCTTCATGTTTGTCATCTCCATGGGTCATGTTTTAGTCATGGAGCTGACTCATAAAAGCTTGTTTGCCAAATTTGACAGCACTGTTCAGTAAGTAGCATTACTTAATAATTTATTAAGTAGCCCTATTTAGTAGATAACACTATATGGTAAGTGCAGACATGGAAAAAGTATCACTATTCAGAAGGTAACACTATATGTTAAGTGCAAACATGGAAACAGTATCACCATTCAGTAGGTAGCACCATTTAGTAAGAACAAACATTTAGTAAGTTGTACTATTTGATGAGTACAAACATTCAGTAAACTGCATCAGTCAGTAAGTAGCACCATTCAGTAGGTAGTACCATTCAGTAGGTAGTACCTTTCAGTAAGAAGCACCATTCATTAGATAACACCATTCAGTACGTAGTACCATTCATTATGTTGTACCATTCATTAAAACATTCAGTAGGTAGCACCATTTATTAGGTAGCACCATTTATTAGGTAGCACCATTCAGTACGTAGCACCATTTATTATGTTGCACCATTCATTAAAAAGCACCAGTCATTAAGTAGCACCAGTCATTCAGTAGCACCATTCATTAAGTAGCACCATTCAGTAGATAGCATCATTTAGTAAGAAGCACCATTCATTAGATAACACCATTCAGTGCGTAGCACCATTTATTAAGTAGCATCTTTTAGAAAGTAGCCCCATTAATTAAGTGGCACCATTCAGTAAGTAGCACCATGCAGCGCGTACAAGTATTTCCCAAGTAAAGTGTCTGTGCATATTTTGTTTTTTGTTTTTGTTAAATGAGGCTGCGAGGTTACCAGGTGATCTGTCTAAAGCTTTAGACTCAAGGGAATAGCCAGATGAAAATACAATTAGACAGTTACTGGTGCAATCAAAATTAGAGCTTTTTGCTTACTACTGAAGTTGAGGACGGAATGCTCTGATGTCGATTCTTAATTCAACATTCTACTTAGTGTGTTTTTTATTTTTTAGTGGGTCTGGTTGAACACTGGTAATAACTTGGAATACAAACTAAATTTCAAGACTGAAAAAATAAAAAAGGCTGAAGTGGATGGTATAGCACTGCAAAGAAAAAACAGCGTTATAAATCTATAGACAACTATGAATCTTTTTTAACTAAAGTGAAAAGGCAAAAAATTCAATGGTATGTAATAAGATCTAACGGCCTCTGCGGCCTCTCAAAAACAATACTGCAGGGCTCAGAAGAGGGAAAGAGGAGAAGAGGCAGACCAGGAAAGACCTAGTTATAGAATCTGATTCACTGGACAGGCCTCAGGCATGCTACCATGAAGTCCATTGCAACTGACCGCCAAAGGTAGAGAGAGCTGATCAGACAATCAATGGACTCTGGTGACGCAATGACAAGCAGTGTTACAGGGAGATGATGGATAAGCCTGTGGGTACATACAAGCTAGCAAATCAAAGCCAGAATTGTGAAAGCATGCATCTTCTTAGTATAGATGTGAATCTTGGGCAATCGCACAATCTCTAAGGAAAGAAGTCAGGGTTTCTGAGCTGAAATGCTACAGAAAGATTTTTACAATACCATGTAGCAAGAAGAAAATAAATATTGACATTCTTCAAGATTTTAACTTTGAAGAAAACTGGCTCAAAAACAGCATATTACCACAGGAACTGAAATACTGTGGCCATATCAAACATTACAATGACCTGGTAAGAACAGTAGTGGAGGAAATGGTACAGAGTAATCGAGTCAGAGGCCAACACTCACAAAGTTGTACACAGAGACCCCTGTGGACAGGAAAGTGCATGAAACAGTAGACCGTACAAGGGACTGTCTCATGATGGCAGCAGTGTTGTTAATTAACATGTATATTGGCTCTGTTACATCTATTACTGCTAGAAAGAGAATAGGGGCTTTTGAGCCGAAATGCTATAGAAAGATTCTCAGAATATCTTGGACAAAGAAGAGGAGAAATATTGACATCTTAAAAGATCTGAACATCAAGGAAGATTGGCTAATAAACAGCATCTTTTCTCGGAAGCTGAAATATTTTGGTCATATCAAGCGCCACAACGGATTGGAAAAAACTATAGCAGAAGGCATGGTACCAGCAAGGAGGGGCAGGGGCCGACCGACACGAAGATGGGCACAGGATATAAGTGACTTCTTGAGTATGAAAGTATATGAGGCAGGAGAACTGGCGAGAGACCGAGTTTCTTTCAGGCAGACTGTGATGAGAGCGACGTTCTGCAAAAGACCTGCTACATGATGATGATGACATCTATTACTGCTAGAAATGCATTTACTAATATTTTCAAATAGCTATCCTACCAGAGGAGCGGCTGGCCAAATGGTTAGAATACTGGGCTCTTATTTGGGAGACCTAGGTTCAAATCCTTGGTAAGGCTGGATATTTTTTCTGTTGGGCAAAATACAATCCTCACTTGCACAGTCGTGGCGACAGCACTAGCCACACGGCCCTAAATCAGGCTCAAAGACCCCACTGCCTTCTTCTTCTTCTTCTTCTTCTTTCTCTTCCACCTTGTACCTCATCGAAGTGTCGGGGGGAGATGTAATGTTCGTTGATGAGCTCTGTCAAGAGCACTATTAAGACTGATGTTCATTTCTGTAAGGCTGTTCTTAATGCCATCATTCCATATTTTTCGAGGTCTTCCACTCGCTTTATACCCGTTGTAACGTTTTAGTGTGGCTCGCTGTGGCAGATAGTACCAGGGCATTCTTGTTATTCTTTGATGACCTGTAAGACTGGCTTTATTCCTAGCATTCGTCTGATTTCATGATTTTGTATTCTGTCTTTCCTTGAAACTCCTGCAGCTCTTCTAAGGCATTTCATCTCTGTTGTCACAATTTTGTGTTCATTGGAGGATGTAAGTGTCCACATTTGGCACTGATAGCATAGTATTGGCCAAAAAATAGTTCTGATAAGATTCACTTTAGTACTCTGAGGTATCTGCTTGTGTGTCAACAGGGGAGATAGTTGACCCATTACTTGATTAGCTTTGGCACATCTGGAGCTAATTTCTCTGTCCAGTTTTCCGTCTGAAGTAAAAATTGCTCCCAAATACTTAAATTCCTCTGTTTGTCTCAGGGTGTTGTTTTTTAATTTAATTTCTAAATTGTCTTTATGTCTTCCTTTCATCATTGTCTCTGTCTTCGTAGTGTTTATTTTCATATTATATTCCTCCCCTTTGTTACTAATTTGATTTAGGGACCCCACTGCCTATACTGCAAAAGTGGTATACAAAGGCAGGAATTGACAATTTTGGCTATCTTACCATGATAACACTGATAATTTATTATTATGCCTTCAACTTCCTAGTTCTTTCATACCAACTGATGTGTATGGTATTCTGGCATTTGTTATGTTTCTGCTGGGGTTTTCACTGCAAAATAGAGAACAGGAATGGACTCTTCGACTAGATTACTTGTGGAAATCTCAGGTTTGTAGGCAAATATTTGTGCTTTATGTCATTTACTTGTGTTTTTTAGTATGTGTTTTTCATGTTTATGTTTCTGGGATATAACAGATTAATTATAAATGAAAACAAAACTGAAACTAAAATTGCCAGCATGAACTTCCACACACACACACACACTCACACATGCACACACACTCAAACACATGCACACACATATGCAAGTGTATCATCCATTTGATCAGTCTTACTAGTGTCAAGGTCATCTGATCATGTCCTTTATTTGCCCTCTCCTCCCTTCCCATTTGCATTTTGTTTCAGCTCAATATGCCTGATTCTCATTATCCTTGCATGATTGATCTGTTCCTTCAAAATATAAACTTCTTTTGACCACTCATCATCTAGTTCTGTCTGCCCATTAAATGTCAGCTATTATGAGTCTACAACACTTGATGTCCTGCTTGTACATCTGACACTAAAACATACCTTTACTTTACCTAATGGCATATCCTTTAATCATGTCTCTTTCTTTGTGTGAAGTACCTTCATTGTTTGAATCTAATATTGTAATGTTTTTTTTAATGCTACCTTTAAAAATACTATATTTCTTTTCTTCTCCTGTCAGTTGAGGATAAACAAAAAAATAATATTTAACAACTATACTTTTTATTTCTGATTGAACTCATAAAATGGTGGTTGGCACTTAATATTGTCGCTTACAGCTAGGCTGCGATGTCAGTCTATAAAATTTGAGTAAATTCTCAATTAATCATTTTTGTGACATGTTTGTAAGTGGGTTTCTACCTCCCCCCTCCCCCCACCCCGCACACAATAGATGGATAGGGATAACAGCTATACAGAAAACAAGCATTTGATAAACATAAATCCAGTCTTGAGGCAAAAGATAACAGTTTTTACCTAAATAATAATTATTTATTAGCCATCACAATCATAACCATGAAAGTGTGACAGGGGTAATTTTTCTAAATAACTGAAAGTAATGTTTATACTGTATATAAAACCGGGAAAGTATACAGTGAAATACTATGAACATTATATTGTCTTAATTATAATCGTAAGACATTTTACTATTTTCTATAACAGAGCCTGTGCTGTAAATGGCACTCTTGGCAACTACCCAGCCATTTTCCAATTGCAATGAATGACATGGGCTATTGTTGCTGGCAAGGCAACAAATGCCTGATTATAGTCAGATTTGTCAGCCAGAAGGGATAGATATTGTGGTCATGCTGTAAACTGACACATACGGTTACATCCTTAAATGACCAAGGAAGAAGAAAAGAATCTAGTTTTATTTTTGGATTTACTAAATGACAAATTTATTTGAGAGGCTTAATTGTCCATGCCAGTCGGCAAGGCATTTGATGATGATGTTATATGTTTGTTCTTAATTTTAATTAAAAATCAGCCCAAATCACATTTGTTTGTTGTCTTCTGCAGAATACACTGGTAAGTTAAGCAGACAAAATTTGTTACATATAATAAATGGCACAGTGTGTAAAATGTAACTATATGATTGTTGGATATGTTACAGATACAAACATAATACTGGATATGCTTGATAAACTGTACGCATAATGTGCACACTTTTTTACTCTCTTTTTTGTTTTGTTTTTACCACAATTATCTTACTCACAAATATATATAAAGTTGTCAGTTGCAGAGAAAGAAAGAGAGTTAAAATTTTAATATGGAACCTAAACTGCTAAGTGCATGTGAAGCATGGATAATAAGAAACTTCTAAAATCAGTGGAAATGGGATATAGAGGACTTCTTCATCTTCTTCTTCACGTTTACTAGTGCTAAACACCAGGACAGTTTTTGTATTTCCATAAATGGACTTGAGTCATGTTCCAGAGCTTGAGTTTTGTTTGCATATCTGTTTTAAAAATCTGGCTCATTTGTATGCAGAATGTTGGGTCCTCGCATCTCAGGCAGATGCACATTGACTTTGAAGGAATCACCTCCAATTAGTCAACTTTAAGGACATGCTTATTATTAGGGAAGCAGTGGGTCTGAGAACAATATAACTAGAATGTCTTTGCACTGAAACCCACAGGGGCATAGAAAAAAAAAAAGACCAAAAACAAAAACAAAAACAAAAACACAAGGAGAAGGTAGCAAGAGAGTGAAGTTAAAAATATAGGGAGGACATTGGGAGAGCTGCATGCAATAGCAAAGTGTAGAATAAATTAGTGTGAGTTGGCTGAGGGCCTGTTCTCCATTGGGGAGCCATAAGGCAGAAGAGAGAGAGAGAGAGAGGGTCTATTGTTTTCCCCCCAAAAGAGCCTAGTACCCACATAGGGAGTTTTAGAAGACATTACAAAGAGCACTGTGAACTGACAAATGAGACAGTCTTTCATGCAGCATGAAAATAAAACTGATTAGAGAAATGAGATGTAGACAGTCAAGATTTTTGTGGACGTGTTATAATGAGAAATATAACTTGAAAACTCACTGTCACTTAGCAAACTTGATGGAAAACCTAGCAAGGGAAGACAAAGAAATAACAACCTAATGGCATGGCCACATGGTGTAGACGGAAATTAACACAGATCTGAACCAAGACTCAAGAAACTAACTGTGGGGAACAAAGACTACCCGTGCTGTCAGCATGGCTCATGACGATGATGATGATGATGACGTAATTAACACAGATGCTTGAACTTTGAACTGTCTATGCATTGGTGTTAGGATGATGTGAAATGTGATGTTATATACACAATTGCCTGTCATATTGCATGCAGTCAAGTGATAAAACTAGTTAATTGAATTACCAATTTTACCAATCTATAGTTAAAAAATTAGGTCTTCGGGGTGAGATGGCATAATCCAAGAGTCCGTTAGTCTAGGTAGATTCTCGCTGTGGATTATTACAGAAGAATACCTGGAGATAACACCCCCCCCCCCCACCACACACACAGTTAGTGAACTGGTTTACTGATATAAGAATCAACATCAAAACACACTGAGCATACCCATAGGGGCTCGGTCTCCTGCAGGTGGTGACTTAATGTGTAGAGGCTAACTCTTTCCTTAGCACACTGATTATAAACTCATTGTCTCTCTTCCTCTCATACATCCTCCTTCCCTGATCACACCTAATGCCTCATTCACACATTCTCACACTGTTATTTCATCTAACCTCATGGTCTTCTCTCAGTGTCCTTCATAAATTGACTTTAAAATTTCTCCTTTTTCTAGTAAATGTGTTCCTACAGCTGTCGCTTTTGTAGCCAGAAAATCTGCTCTCTCATTTCCTTACACACCTTTGTATCTTGGACAGTATATCCACCTGAGTTTCTGTAAAGTTAACATGCTGATGCTTGGTATCCAGTCATGCCACAATGATCATTTTTAACCTTCTGCAGTATAGACTGAAAATCAGTCACTATTATTCCTCTGGGTACTCTAATTTCTACTATCTACTTCAGAGCAGCAGTGATTGCCTACACCACCATCCTCATCCTAAAAAAAGAAAAAAAAAAATTTTCCAGCCATGATCTTTCCCTTCACTCTGACTGAAAATCCCCTGCCAGATATTTCACCCCGATGAAAAGAATCAGCAGTATACACTATTGCATCCTCTAGTCCAGTGCTTGCTACTAGCAATTGTTGTACCTCTAATTCTGCCATAATCATTTACACCACTCTACAGTCTCTTCCTAATGTGACAATGACCTTATTTAGATGCCAAACATCCCAGATAAGGTCAATTATATGGGATTACTTGCGAGTATATTGTGTCTGCTAAAAATCCCTTGGCAGTTTGAAATAGATAAGGGTAAGCTGCAAGAGCTAGTGCCAAGGCAAAGCATTACAATTTAAAAAAAAAAACCACAAGAGGAATGTTTACTGCATGACGGACTGGGTTAGGTATATATATATATATATATTTATATATATATATATATATATATATATATATATATATATATATATATATATATATATATATATATATATATATATATATATATATATTTATTTATATATAAAATTATATAATATAGAAACATTATAAGGATACCAGGAAGGAAGAAAACTACTAACGCTCTGCAAGATCTGAAAAATCAAAGATAAATGGCCTGCATACAAATCATAGCTCAGAAGTTGAAATACTTTGGCCAGGTAAAAAGCCACAGTGGTCGTGATAGAACCACAATGAAAGGTATACTCCTGGAGGAAAAGGCAGAAGTTGAACCAACAGATGGACACTACACTGAAGATGCCTTGGTCTCTGATGGAATTGATGATTTGCAATGGACCTGCTAAATAGTGACAACATCACCCTGGTACACACATTATAATCGCAGTCAGTGCTGGAGGGTTTGTGTTTCGTATTCAGGTACATTAGCATGATCTGTAAGAAGAGACTGGAGCACCTATGAAAGTTTGTGTGCATTGAAGCTTTACAAATCCAGCCAGCCAGTTGGGTCTTTCAATTTATTCAGTGCTGGAATGTCATTGTAAGATGTCATAACATGAACATATGTAATAACATTAATGGATGTGTTATGCATTCTGCATGGTATACTTATGATGCATTGGCTATATTCTTTACTTCGCTAAACAGGTTCTGATTATACAGATTAAAGTAATGTCAACTATTCTAACAAAAAAAGTATCTTACAAAAAAGGTGCTGGTACTCAGTACAAAGTTTATATTACAGTAGCGAAGACAAAAAGGTGCTAGGACTGCGTACTGTTGCATACCGCCAGAAAAAAAACACCTGCATTTATGGAAGCTAGAAGCTTGTCATCTAGCCTAAAGGCCTTTTAATTCAGATCAGGCAGTTCAAAAAAATAATTATCTTGATTCTTAGGTTAATCTGGCCTAAACACAGAAGTGTCGTGGGAAGTAAAGAAAGCTTGAAGCTGTTGACCACATCACCCCATTGAGTGCTAATTGGTTAAAAAAAATATTAGTCTAGCATCCTTTTCCTCCTCTCCGCTGGCGTGTTAATAGTTCTTTACTTACATACATTTACATATTAGATTGTTACATATGTTTATATTGTAGAATGTTACATACACTCACACACTAAACCTTTATAGATGCTTCACATATGAATTTTAACTATTTCTTGTCTCTTTCTTCTATGGTTTATAAGGTATCTGCTTTACTCAGTATGTTTGAACATTCTTGTCTCATACTTACTTTCTATCCTTCATCTTGATCATATTCATCGGTTTCCACTCTTGGTGTTAAGCATCATAGGGAGGAACATGCATTGCTTGATGGCTAGCAACAACTACTGTCATTCCTTGTTAATATAGAACACCTTTAATATCATCAATCCGTCGTATGTTCTTCAGTAACAGAAATGAACACGCATAGCTGTATTTTTTTGTCACACTATAATGAGGCTGACAAAAGAATGTTTATGCAGTTCTCTGGTTTTTTAACTTAATTTTTACTCCATAAGGTTCAGTTTTTTCTTCCCTAGAACACTGTAATTTTCTGTTTATATATTTTCATGTCCAAAAATGTCTTATCAATCATTCTGACTTTTATTTTCACAAAAGTTAAAAGTTTAAATTTGTTCTGAACAAACCCCCCCCCCCTCCCCCCCTTTCCCCCCCAATGACATCAAATGCAAGGGTGTCCTAGTTATTATTTTCTTGGGGGTTTAAACAAGCTATCTGGACTTGTCCTGTTTTTTTGCCATCAGCACTGAGACTTAGTCTCAGGATGTCAGCCCTTCAGGTTCTATTCATCTGCCAACCAGACTGAAATATTCTGATCTCAGGGTATCACACTTTTCAGGTAGCAGCCCAAAGAGGATAAACAGCATGCACACATGCAAGCACAAGAAGGATCAAAGGATTAATATTATGCTAACTACCTCTACTTTCTCCACTTGTTATTCTTGATTCAAATACTGCTGAGTTGTCTATCTACTCTTAGTAGCCCAATGCTATTCTCATTGTTCAAGTTTTCCTCAACTGTTTTGGGGGTCTATAGAATGAGTTAGTAACCTTTGGAGATGCTGTCTGTAGGAAGTATTTTCATTTTGCTGTTTAGAATTAAAAAAAAAAAAAAAAAAACTCTTTTCCTGCATTGCATTCTAAAATATTGATAACAGGTGACTCAAAGATGCACTTTGAAAAAAAAAAACTGAACATGAGTAAATCCCAGAAACATTGTTCAATGTATAACACAGTTAGATAAGGGCACCTTTTAGTTATGAGGCAACCTGCTGTCCAGTATGGGTGGGTAGATAATGAGAAGGGGAGAACAATTTCTATAGAATGTGCAGAGGTTTATACTGGAGATAGATCCAGTGTAGTTGGTTATTAACTTCAGCATGGTAAAAAAAAGTCCCTGCATGGTCCGGACATAGGTTACCTTGTAACCGTCGGAGGCCCCAGGATAACTTTATGGTTGAACGGGACTTACGAGGATTTATATATGCAGGATTCTCATCCATGAGGTGTTAATCATGTGGACTGCAGTCCTGGTGGGGACAAACTGCAGTAACATAATCGTCAGATCTCTGGTTTAAAATTTTATAATGCTAGGTCAACTCTAGAGGCTTGTAAATCTAAATATACAATCAGCCAGTCCTCATCGCTGCCAAAGGCAGAGACAAACTGTCACCACTTAGTTCAATCGTGAGCCATCCTCTCTATTTCTAGTTTTATCCTTCATGTAGCCTTCAGTTCAGCTTCAAAGGTTCGCCTCCAAAGTGCCTCTGAGCCTGCCACTTCCTCGAAGTCCTTGTGCTGTCCATTTCATTGTCTGTCTCGTTCATCTCTCTTTCTTTATTCTGAGGACGTGTCTAATCCACCTCCAGCTTCGTTTTATTTTAATTTCAAAATTTTACATCTTCTAAGTCTGTCATTTGTTGTAATCAAGAATGGTTGATTTTTTCTTCCCATGTAAACCCCAACAATCGTCTGAGAAGTCTTCCCTCAAAACCTCTGACCATGCTCTTTATCTTTCTGTCTGTTTTAAATTTAAATCTTACTAGATAATATTTTTTTTCTTTGGTTTGTTCTTCAGTTTATTATATGGAAATTTATGAATTTAGTTCTAATGCATACAAATAACCTTTGCAGGCAGCCGAAGAAAAAGCAGGAATGCAAGAACTGCAGAGACAGAACTCACGTATTCTCTGCAACCTTTTACCAGAGCATGTGGCCAACCATTTTCTGAATCTTCAGAGCACCAATCACATGGTTAGTTGTCACATTATTTAACAGTTTGCAGTATTTTTGGTTGAACAGTATATTTATACATTTATATTATGAATGTTTTGCAGTGGTTATATGCATGTTGTGAATTATATTCACAATTTTATTAGTTTTTTTTTATTCTTTAAGTCTTCAAACAAAATGAAATAGTTCATTATACAGACTGCCACACTGACCTACAGACCAGGTTTTACAATATGACGAAACCTATATGTAAGAAAGATTATTGAAAATATATATTTGTAAATTTATTTGTATTTTTATGTAAATATTTGCCAACACTTCAGGACATTTAAATTTTCAATGAAAGTTAAACAAGAAAGATTGCTGCCATTCCAGTGCTAAATATTAGAACTTCATTTATTCCATTTTTTTCAACTGTATGAGATTGATAATTTCCATCCACATGATTTTTACTTCGCAGACATTTCTAAAAAAAAAAAAAATTGTAATTTACCTTCTATTGTTTGACAATGAATTGACTGTTTATTTTTTTCAGTTCCATGCAGTGTGTGATGCTTAATAGATTTTCACATAAATCCCAGCCATCACATTATATGTTTACCCCCATTTTTATTAATGGTCAGAGCACACTAAGAAATCTAGCTTCCTTATTAGCTATTTCGCTAACCTAGTTGCCTGTCTGACAGTTGTGCATTGGTGACTTTTCATAGTGGTCATTCATTTCTTTGGGTATTTGCTGTGACAACCCTCTAGGATTGAAAGAGTTATGTGGCATCATCATAAATTTCCACTTTTGCTGTTAGGCATTGTTTGGAAGAACAGTTTGCGGTCCAGTGCTTGATGGATAAAATTGACTACTGTTATTCTGTTGGCATTTTTTTCTTCTTTCCCATATAGAATAAAAAATTTAGTCAGTTCAGAAATGAAAATTCTTGCTATTTTATAAATGGACATCTAAAAATGTGATCTTCTCTATTTCAGGAATTATACAGCCAACAGTATAACAAGGTGGCTGTATTTTTTGCATCGATTCCCAACTTTTCAGACTTCTATGTGGAGCTTGCAGCCAACAACCAGGGAGTTGAGTGCCTCAGAGTTCTGAATGAAATTATTGCTGATTTTGATGAGGTTTGAATTAGGTCTAAATTTGTCATTATGAAAATATGATGAAATCACAACATATAAAATTTACATTCTGAATGATGAGCTTTTTCTCAGTTGAATCGATTATGCCAAGGGTGTTTTTTTTTTTTTTTAATTAGAAGCATAGGATAATTGAAAACAATTTTGACACAAATATAACTTAGAATAATTGAATATTACTTTGATATATTGTTATGAACTGAACATATTAAATACTTATTATAATCTAACTTTATTATTCTCCATCCTTGTTATTCTATTAGGAGAACTACCAAGACTGACTGTGTATATTATTTGTAGCACGTGTAGATATTTTCATGAGTGTAAAGTTCAGGACCAATAAGTCCAAATATTATGAACTACATGTTCAGTCATTTTTTCTCAATGTTCTTTATTTCTGTTAGTGCAGAATAACAAAAAAGTGCCTAATATTGAAGTTAGTTTACTTGAATATAAGTACACATGTGATAAATTAAATATTATATATAACAATTTTACTATAAACATGTTTGATTTCCAGTGTTAAAAATATGAATAAGCAAGTAGCTGTTTGAATTAAGCTTAACTCTACCCTTAGCTGCTTCTTATGATATGTTTGGTATGGTTCAATGTTATTACTGTTTGCTTTCCTATGGACACTGGAAACAAAATGTTGATGTGTTTGAGAAATCTTCTACTTTGTCTTTTGTGTTCACCCTCAAAAGAGCAGTGGGAATGTTGTGTCATAATTTAAAGTTTATCTGCAACTGCTGGCCCAATGCATCTGATTTGAGCAAACCCCTAGCATTCACCTTTTATGACATGATTTTACCCCCCCCCCCCCCCCCCCCCCCTCCCCCTTTCCCTGAAATGAAGCCTCAGAACCGACATGAAAAGTTTAGTAAGCATACATTTTCCCCTAGGCATAAAAGAGCTATATATGTAGTTGCAAGCAGACTAACCTTGTGGCCTGTGTGCTCAATATATAAACTTCCCTCATGGCTGAATTTGATTGTGACTGAATGGCTTCAGCTCAGCCTCAAAAAATTAAAGTATCTAGTTTCATAACATTAGTTTTTGTTTATAGATGCAGAATTTATTTGTGCATATATTGATCAATAATCATTTATTTGAGTAAAATCAATGCTTTGTATCTTTTAGTCGTGTGTTGTGATATTCACTATTAGGATAACATGTTTCTTTATTATTAACTCTCAAAACTTGTGTTAAAAAGTTCCTAATGTGAATATGAGAGGGGCAAAGGCAAAAGAATTTATAACAACTGCAATTTCTATCCAGCTACTGGACATGCCATATTTTTATGGTGTGGAGAAAATTAAAACTATCGGGAGTTGTTATATGGCAGCAACAGGCCTGAAGCCTACACATCTAGTCAAGGTAAATTATTGTTAAATGATGTTACATTTGACCAGAGTGGTTGGATTCAGTTATGTAATGTCATGTAGTGTAATCACAGTTCCAACTTTGTAGCAAATGTTAGCATAGTTACCCTGTTCTTCTGCCAACAAAAACCACATGGAATGCCCATCACTGTTCCTATTAAAATTTTGACACAGACTGCAGTCTCAGCGAAGGTAATCACATACATGTTCATTAAAAGCACAATTCAGCCACCAGAAATAACAACAGAACAGTCCAACACTAGAAATGCAGTTCAGCCTCATGTAAGCAGCAGTTACAACAGTTCAGTAGCGCACACGCAATTTATCGTTTATGGCACCACAGTTTTCAGTGGATTCAGTCAATTCTCATTGTCACAGTATTATCAAACTTTAGAATAGATTAATATAAAACAAGCATTATCAATAATTTTACACTTGTAGATCTAATGAGGAAGAGATTGGAGCACCTATAAATGTGTCCGGAGTAATGTAATGATAGTCCTCATTAAGGCATTCTTAGAGATATTCATCTCATTGGAACTTATGGTTCATTCTCTGGTGCTGTGACTGATGTTCTCATCTATCTAGGTCATGAACTACATCTCCAGCTCAATAGTTAAGTTCTGATCCTCTGACAGTTTCATGACCATTGAGGAAATAATATGTAAACTAAGACACTCATGAAACCACACTGAGTATTATGCATAAGCAACTTTAAGACAAACAGTTTCTGTCAAGTTGGTTCCATAGTTTCAAGCATAAACTGAGGAGTTCTATAATCAGAGCACTAGGAAGATGAACAGGAAATGGGATAATTGTATTTCCTTAAGGGATGAATACTAGAGAAGGACTTAAGTCCACACATTTCCATGTATGTGACTGGACTCCACGCTCAAACACATAACTTTTCGGTTGCCCCTCAATTTTCCAGTTGCATCAGAAAACTGTGACTTTCACCTGAGTCAGATAACAGAAATATTTTATATGCAAAAACACCTTATAAACACTTACATGATTAATTACATGGCATTAGACTGAAAGATGGAAGCCTGCTATGTCTATTCAAAATAATAGTAAAGTAAGTAGAGCAAAGGACCCTTTTCCACGCCTTTAGAAGTATAGGACATATAGGGATAGACCTATATTTTATAGACCAATTGGTCAGCATCACGCCGGCCGCCTCTACTTCCCGGGACTGGACCCGGTACCCACTCAAGGCTATGTCGACCTGGAAGCCAAGGTCCTTTTTGAAAAAAGTCCGGCTCTGCCAGGAAGCGAACCCACCACTTTTCGATTAGCAGGGAGCTTCTAACCACTCCGCCACGGCGACTCCAAATAAAAATAATAGCAAAACAAAAATAAGTGTGTAACTTTAATTACTGTTTTTTTTCTCAGAAATGATAAACTGAAGAATATCAACTTGTGTTTATTTAAGGTTAGAATATTGTTTATTGAATAGTTTAACAAATCTATAATGTGGAAAAATATTTCTATTATGTATGTTTCAGGGTTGGGAAGACTCTGTAGCCTTTTATCTGACAATGGTTGTGGATTTTGTCATGGCAATGAAGGAGAAGCTCAGAAATATAAATGAGAATTCCTACAATAATTTTGAACTTAGAGTGGGTAGGTATGATGATATTTGTGAATATTACCTCAGCAGAATTCATGTCTCACCTATACTATATAGTTTTTCAAAGATCAACATTCTTTTCTGGCATGGATGACACTCATCAGTTCTGTTAAAGTCTTCATTAGTCCCAGATAGTTTGTCTTAAAGGGTTGTATCTGTGGGGCAGATTCTCTCTCTCGCTCTCTCTCTGAGCAAATCTTGTAAGATGTGCTCTGGGGTTTGCTTTGGTGCACCACATTTGAAACTGACAGAATCAGTGAGATCATTTAGTAAAGGTTTTTTTTTTTAATGACACATTTAAAATGTGGCCTAGTTGCGTGTAAAAGTGTTTACTTTTATTTCTACAAAATGATTCAGTCAGATGAAATAAGGGGGTTCATGTCTGACAACAATATTTTTCTAAATCAGTTTTCTCATTGATATCCCTCTGTGCCACCATCTTAGAGCATTTAACATACTTTCTCTCACCCTACTGCTTCTGCTTATTATCAAGAGTTTATACATTATCTTTCTTCTCATCGCATTGACTAAAGAACATTATTTGTCTCATTCCTTATAGTTGCATATACTTTTAGAACTTTCCTTAATATTTTACAATCACTGTTTGTTACTTTTGCAGTCCATGGTTTTCATTAATTCATCTCAGAACTCCATTTTCTACCTCCACCCTCTTCTTAATTTGTTTCTTTAACATAAGTTTTGCTGCCTTACATTAAAACGAGTGGAGCTTTATATTTCAGTACTCTGACATTTAATTAGAATGACAGTGTGTAAGATACATTTCTGAAATGAAATGTAGTTTGCGATTGGCATTTGTTGCTAATTGTCTTTAATGTTCATCTCCTATCTGATATTGTGTTAGTCCCCATATATTTATATTTAGGGACTCAGTTAAATAATGTTTTGTGTGTAGTAATATTTCACTTTTTTTTGGTAAGCATTTTTTTTTCTGTTTTCTTGATACTCAAAGTAAGTCCTCTTTTTATTACTACAGTGCAAATATTCAGCTAACAATACATTATGCCCATTTGCTTAAAGCAAAGTGTTTGTATTTAAATCTCCACTCATATTGTGAAATGTTGCTTGGATTTATTTATTTTTTTTCTAAATAAATGTGCCAGTTCTCGCAAATTTTTATATTTAATATTTATTTGGCTACAGTGATTATTTTTGTTGTTCTTCATCTTCTGCATTTGTCCTTAAAAGAGCAGTTAGCATATTTACTTTTTACAGCTAGGCTACCATATCAGCACCTTCCTGGCTCAGCATATCTGATTTAAGGAAACCCTTAATTGGTTGTCTTTTACGACATGCTTGTTAAAAGGCAGGGGAGTATTTTCTTTTCCGCCAAAATCATATTGAAGAATAAGGGCTTTGATCTGCATTTCTATTCCCCCCATGCTGTAGTTGTGTATCTTATGTAACTTCAGAACATGTCTGTGAAACAAACAGTTTCTCCTGGTAGGTGTTGGGAAGTTGCTGCGCCATTATTGTCCGCAGTCGAATCACAAAGTCATTTTCTGCCATAAAGTGCCCTGCCCAGTCATAACTGCTTTAAATTGATTAGAGAAGAATTCCAAAGATAAGAATGTGCTTCCGACTAACATTTCCACAGACGAAACAATCCCCTATAATTTCTATACACATTCCAGCAGATTGGTTTCTACTTCTGGGTATTTTGCTTTCTTGCCACAAAAAGATTGTTGACTTTAGAATGTTTAGTTAAGAATATCTTTCACTCCAATCCATCTGCTACTCATTTGGTTTGGTCTCTTTAGGAAACTCTAAGAAAAGTATTTGCTTCCTAAAATTATTGTCTTAGAAACTGGTTGTGGCCTATACACACAGGTAACCTATACACAGGTAACCTATATACACATGTAACCTATACACACATGTAACCTATACACACATGCAACCTGTACACACAGGTAGCCTGTACACACAGGTAGCCTGTACACACAGGTAACCTGTACACACATAAATACTGTAACTTTATACAAGGAGTATATCCAAATGCCTATAAGAAAGTAGGTGTTTTATATGACCTTATCATTCATCATTTAGAATTAGATCAACATAAACATAGTCCATATCTCTAATGTGTCTTAATGGCTGTTTATTTCAATTTCTTGATTTTAAGGAATCAATGTGGGGCCTGTGGTGGCAGGTGTAATTGGGGCACGGAAACCACAGTATGACATATGGGGTAACACAGTTAATGTTGCTAGTCGTATGGAGAGTACTGGAGTACCAGGCAAAATTCAGGTGAGTTGGATGTATGTGCTTGTGTTTGAATATACTAAGTCCATATTTTTTTATCCATTACAATAGAAACATCTGTGACTTAGGCATTGCAGAGGGGCTTCATAATTCCTTCATACCATGTTCAATTCCAGCCGTAGGCAATCTGGCAGCCGTCCCATTTGCATTGATTTTGGCAATGGTATTGAGAGCCAGCGATTCAGAAGGACTGCCGAACTACACAAATTAAAATTGCCTAGTAAAACCAAACAGCCAAAAAAATGCTGGGGTTGGTTCTGTAGCATCATGTAAAGGATATGCAACTAACTGAGACACATGTGCACTCATGAATAAGATTTTTCTTTTCAGTGTGTGAATATTCTGTGGCATTCTAGTATTTACTGTCTTTTTACCTTCATTTCAGAAATGCATGAAATGGTCTCTCTTTTCTTTTGCCTTCTATCCCTCAATGGAGCATAGGCCCTCAACCAACTTAAGCCAAGTTGTTCTATCCTTCGCTATTGCATGCAGCTCATCCCATGTCCTTCCCATCTTTTTAACTTCATTCTCTACTCTCTTCTCTATTTGTTTTTGATCTGCCTCTATTTCTATGCCCCTGTGAGTACCAGTGCAAAGACATTCTAGTCATATTATTCTTAGTTTTCCCAGCGTATGCCCTATCCAAAGCCAGCGCCTTTTCTTCACCTCTAGGTAATCTGACATTAAAATAAATAATACATTTGAATATTTTTTTAACCACAAAATATAACTTTTTGAAAATTTTATTAAATATGATCTGTTGCCACATAGCTAAATATATGTTTAACAAGCTATACAGATGTAATTTGTAGGATAATAGTTAACTGATAGTAATATATGAAACAAATATGTTAATAGGATAACTATAGATGCATAGCCAACACTAATTTATATATATTTACGTAAAATACAAAAAATTGCAAATCAGCTTGTACATTATCTAATAGTGATTACATATAACAGTTTCATTTTTTTAAATGGCCAAAAGTAAACAACTGATAATGAAATCTTAACCTTTTTTTAAATAGGTGACTGAAGAAGTTTACTCAATTCTAAAGAATGTGTTCACTTTTGAGTGTCGTGGGAAGGTCCAAGTCAAAGGGAAAGGAGACATGATCACTTATTTTCTAAAAGATCGAATTGCACCTAGAGACCCCAACTGTATTCTTCCTCCTGACACACCACCAAACAGCCCACATGCAAGTGGAACTCCAGACTGCAGGTTTGTGAAAATGTTGCTCATAACAGTGTGTAACAGTAGGTACTTAAGATCCGTGTTCTTCAACCCGTGGACTGCAGAAAAAGTCTAGGTGGGCCACCAAACATTTCCAGCCTAACAGATATTGGGGTAGGTAGGTTTTCTCCTCTGGGTCTGCAGTCTGTAGGGCCAACACTGCAAGGATATTAACAGGTATAAATCCTAGTAATGGAAAAAAGGATTCAGGCTTTTGAATGTAAATGCTGTAAATGCATTTTATGAATTAGTTATTTAGAACACAAAACTAACAAATATGTCAGAGATTAAATGTACACATTTGCAGGACAGAGGAGCCTCTCTTAGCAGTGATGAAACATCACAAGCTAGCTGGGCTTGGGCACGTAGTGAGACATGATTTGATTGTAAAGACAGAGAAAGATGGCAGGTTTTTATGTGCTAGTGCTTCTATCAGCACACCTCCATGACCCTAACGGGTCAAGGGTTATGTTATGTTATCCTAAATTTACTGTCTCTTATAAAAGTAAAGTAAACAAACTTCTTATCTAAGCCTCTAAGGCTTATTGGGCATATAGTTTTTGGTCCCAAATGGTGTAAAATTAAGTGACACAATTATGTTAATGGAGTCATTATAACTTAGGTGTCCTTTACATTGCCAGTTAAATCTATGCTATCCATTTTATAATATTAGGTCTACCCATGTGCCATTTGGATAAGATAATAATCCTATCTCCACTAGGGACTGAAATATGAAGCACTGTGAGAGTAAGCAAGCACTCTACATCACAAAAACGTTTTTGACAGTGACTCATAGATTGTTTGTCTTTTTACTCAGATATCATTATTTAACTTTTTTAGTACCAGAAGGTTTATCAGAAGATCCTAAGGTGAAAAAAATGAGGTGAATACTTTAAGGGAAAAAAAAAAACAGGTGTGATTTACTTTTGAAGAAGTCACATAGACAGTTAAGGGATCGGATCAAAGAAGAAGCCAGTTTTTCTTAGTATGTTGTGACCAGATATTAAAAATTAAAAAAAAAAGAGATGCATTTGTGGGGAAGGGGGGGGGGGGGGGGGGAATAGCACAAAGCACACACAAAATCCTGTGTTTCTTTGGTCTGAATGTATTTTTTTTTTATTTACGAAAATAATTTGTCATTAGTAGACACAGAGAATGACTAAAGCAGTTACAGATTGATTGCAATCACTCATTAAATGGTGCATGTGCAAAACTGAGAGAATTAAATGGTGCATGTGCAAAACTGAGAGAATTAAATGGTAGAAGAAAATCTTGTATGAGAATCAAGACGTGAGGAAAAGACACAAACAGTGGGTATGAATCACACTGGAAAAAGATGATAATGATATAATAATACAACAGTAAGGTCCTGTTATGGGAAACTATAGAATTCCCACCGCCACCCCCCTCCCCCCTTTCCACAAATGCAATAAATAAAATACACATGAGAGATTTAGAGATGGGTGGCTAGGTCAATAGAGGGGTATTTGCCTGGGAAGAGAAGAAGAGGAAGGCCAAAGAGAAGATGGGTGCAGGATGTCACGGATGATCTCCAGATGGGTGTATTGAATGCGGGACATCTTGTTTGCGATCGAGAAGTTTTCCAGAAAGTTGTTATGAGAGCAAGGTTCTGCAAAGGACATGCTACTGACTGACTGACAGGTAAAGAACACATAGAGTGAGTTACATGCAATGGTAAAGGCATTTGATAGTTGAGGGTCTATGCTTCATTGAGGTATAAAGGCAGAAGAAAAAGAAGAAGTAGAAGAATTTGTCATTATCTAGATGTCACAATCTATGGCTGTGGCACATATATATTTGTATAAAATGTGTCATTTCTTATTTCTAAATCTTTTCAGATCTCTGGAAAATTTACCAACAACTGTTATCAGCACGGCGACCGGAAGCCCAGATAATTCAGCTTCCAAACTGATGGACAGATTTTCTGGCATGGAGTACCAAATGCACAGCTCAAGTATTGATCGCATCCATTCTCAGGCCTCAACTGTGGAACGCAAAAGAGGTATGAATACCTCTACTCCCACAGGCAGTTTGAATAAAAAACGCCAAAGTTCAATGGATAGCCCCAGCTTGAGCAGAAATCCTCTGAGAAAACTCAGCAATTCCTCCTCTGGCCACGGTGCTTCAAATGAACCTACATGTAGGAGTAACAGTCCAGAGCTACCAGCTGTCCATTTCTTCAATTCAAAAATGCAAAATCAGACCCGGCCAGCTTCTTTTGGTGTGCAGAACTCTATGTTTGACAGTCTAAAAATAAGAGGCTCCTCAACAAGTCCTGTCAGTCCAACCAGTCCAAAGTCTACAATGTCAGAAGGGGGGAGAGCAGTCAAGACGATGGCTAGTCCAACCGCTTCCCGCAATCAAATGGGTGCAGTTCACTCTCTGCGTAAAGTTCACTCCGAGCCTAGCTGCAAACCACCAGCTGTTCCCCTACCAAGCAACAGCCCACAGTATACACGACCTTCAGCTCCTGTGTATAGCTGCGTGTCTCCTCCACCTAAACCACCTCTGAAAAAGGTTGCAGAAGATGACATACTTGATGATACCATCATTTCAAATATTGAAGAGAAAGCTAGCCCAGTTAAACAATTCTTACCAAAAACGGTTTTGTCTAATTTTGGGAATGGTAATGGTCCCATTGAAGAAAGTCTTTATTCACAACTTGCAGATTGTACCTCCAGACCTCCACCTGTTCCACAAAATTCATACAGACCCAAAAGCACATCAGAAGATAAATTTGTGACAGGTATTTACAGAGAACCCATTGACAAGTCAAGGACACCATCAGTAAGAAGTAAAGATGCCACAGATAAATGTCCTTCAGCTTCATCCTCACTGAAAAGCTATGCATCTTCAGACAAAACAGTTATCATACATGAAGATAGTCCAGAAAAACCACAGCTATCAAACAAAGCACCAACAAAGGTTCCCATAGACATTGGGAGAAGATCATCATCGGGGTCAAAAGAGAGTGCTAGCACCTCTTCTGCTTCAACTGTCACTCCAACAGGAGGACTTGTGGCTAGTATTGATGGCAAAAATATGTCCCTGCTTCCAGCCACACATGAAGATTTACAAAACCTGTACTGTCGTGTCAGTCATTTGGACAATAGCGTTATTCTGAGGCCAGCTCAGAATGACCAGAAACAGAACAACATTAGAAATGGTATGAATCATGTGCCTGCTAGCATTAATTATAATAACAGAGAGTTTAGAAAGTCGTACCCTGCAGTGCCTAACAGTAAACCACTGTTTCGTTCACCTCCGAGGCAACGGAGAGAAGCATTTAACCTCAATTTTGTTTCTGATGATGAAAAAGACTCTGTTTCCTCTCGACCCTATAGTGATCATTCTTCCATTGTATTTCTGAGTCCCATTGAACTGAAGCCTTCAAGAAATCTTTCAATAAGACAATTACCATATCAAGAAGGCAAACAGAGTGTACTGAGCTATGTTTTCACCTCGCCATACAGTACCTTGGATCGGTTCAGGTCACGATCAAGCGATACAATTAACAGCATTCCACACTGCCCACCTACACCAAAGTTTCCAGTACCAGAAGCATCTCCTTCTCTTACACAACTGCTACAAGAGCTTACTGGAGAACCAGATCCCACTGATGTAGATCATTACTATGAAGGGCATCAGAGGCTCAGTTCACAGCATTTCACTGGTCAGGGTTTCCCGCCAAATTCTCCAGAGACTAAAGGGAAATTGATAAGACGACACATTAATGGTAATGAAGCTCAGATGAACAGATTATCTAAAAACATGCAGAACAGATTATTGATACCACAACAAATATCAATCAACCCATTTCAAATCAAACGTCGACAGCCTCATAGTATCCCACCAAGGCACTGCAGAAGCTTGGACTACATCCCTAGTGATAGAGACGAGGCCATGTCCTCCTGTACCAGCTCAGCTTGTGGTAGCCCAAAGACAAGACATGCTTACCTGATGCCTCTTATTTTCGGAACCCAGACAGCCTGTCGGACGGATCACACAAGTTTATCTTCTCTAGCAAGTAGTAGTGAGATGTCCCAGTCAGACCTGCATATCAATGCAGACTCTGGCTCAACAGCTTATGAGTCTGAATATGACAACTATCGGCCAGGTATTCTGAGCGATGAAGATTTTCTTGTTCGTGAATCAATAAGTGACATCGACATGGACATTTTTGATGATGTCAATGTTGAAAATGTGGCCGTGAGTGACAACTTTAGCCTAGACATGCCAGTGCCCAGATTTCATAAAAAAATAACTGAAGTGTAAAACAGCATTGTCACATCTGAGTAGAACAGTGAACTTCCCTTTTATCTACAGGAAAAATGTATCATATTCTTGCCTTGAGTTGAGTTGAGATAAGAATTGACATCACAGCACTCTTGGCATTTCCATATGGTCTCCAGCCCCATCCTCAACAGCCAGCACAGAGTTCCAGTATTAATGGTGCCAGTCATAGTCTGGTTGTATGTCCGTCTTGCCTTTCCTCTGAGCGTAATGTACCGGCTGAATGCTCTAGTCACGCCCAGGTGCATCATTCTCTCCAGCTCATAATAATCTAGTTTTTTTTCTGACTTTGTTACTTGTTCCCAAAGGGCTATGACCACATCTGCCTTGTCATGTATCAATTCACCACCCAGCTGTGCAGATCCAGCCTGTCTGTCTGCCTGTTCATTCCCCACCATGTTGGCATTACCTGGAGAAAAGATTCAAAATTTGCACACTATCTGTGACCTTGCAAGTGAAGCTTGCAACTCTTCTCAAAGCAATCCTGTCTTCACCTTTTTCAGCATGCTTTCAGAGTCTGTTACAATTACGACATATCTATGTATCTTGTTCTCTAGTCACCGTTAAGAAAATTTGTTCTTGCCAGGAATGGCTGATAAAATATGCCAACCACTTTTAAACAAATGTTGAGATGAGATTTGCATCTAATGTTTCATGTATGGATTTTAAGTGTTATTTTCATACTGAACATATTCTTAGCAGACCTCAAACATTCATTTTATGGTCTTATAGTGCTCAGTTGTAAACTTCATAATCTGAGTC